TTAGCCCATCGAGAAGGCTTGCATACTCAGTATTCCGGCTTGCACTTTATCCGTGCACTTCGCAGGGTTCGTATACGACGGCGTCTTGTCGCATTTGCGGAGAAGTGGGCGCACTTAGCATCGGGGCTTCAGCGTCCCTGTGGCGACGGTATCCCCAGCGCGGACATCATGGCCATGGGGGACAGTATCCCGGACTACGTGGCCGTGGCCGTGCAGAAGAACAAGGTGAAGATGGCCGGTAAGTATAACAGCATGGACTGTATGAGGTGTTTTATGCACATGGTTGAGTATTGCATTGGCTTCACGCCTGCGGAGTATACCGAGGAGCTGCATCAGTGGTTTCTGAAGCGGCAGTGTCGGAAGTGGGCACGCTATGCTGCTGCGGAGCTCGCGTATTTTGGCGTGGTTTCCTGCGACACAATGACCACAGCATTGGGTCGTATGAGGAAGGCTCTCAACAGCACGTCTCAAGTGAGCGTCGCGACCATGTATGTATTGTTCTGCGAGACGCGGCAGGCTATCAACAGGTATTCGTTGCATGGTGTTTGGTATCTCATTGACGCGTATGACAAGAGCAAGTCTGTGCGGGCAAACGTTTCGCGTGTCCGGCCTGGGCTAGTATCGACGCGTTGTCACACAATTCAGCTTTTGGAGGCGATCCGCAGCTGTGTGGGAGTATCGCTTGCTGTGCTGCGGACCTTGGGAGGTGGCGTATCAGACGGCGGACCTTGCGAGGTGGCGTATCAGCTCGGTCGCCGCCGTCTGTGTCCCAAGGTAGAATCTGACGGTATTCCAGAGCTCCGTGTGCTTGCGAGTTGTCTCAGCGTATTGACACAGAAGGTGCAGACGTATGCGAGGCAGCCTTCGCAGCAGTACCGCGGCTTGGTCAAGGCCGCCAAAGGTCTGGGTATCAAGTACGGGAAGTCGCATACGGTGAAGAAGCTCGCGCTGCTCGTGAAGCGAGGTATGCTGCAGCCTTCAGGCACCGGTGCGTGCAAACGGACGTACCAGGAGCTGGTATCCGCAGCGCACGCTCGCGGCGCCAGCGAGTATCAAAGAATTAAAGTGCAGGGAAGGTGGACCACCAGACGTGTATCCAAAGCCACGTTGGAAGCGCTGGTGGCTGAGCCCTAGGGGCGGTGCTCAGTTGTATAGTGCATTGTGGCAGACTTTGGTGTCGAGCAGAACTGTATGAAAGAAGAGCCACCAGTAATGACATACACACACATATACACACACATGTAAACATTCGAGCTCGGTGCGCATAGCCATGCCTTTACACGCAGACGTGCACATGCACAGTCTCGTACACATATACGTGCGTCGAGACATGCACTGATATTCCTCGTACTTACGCAAACACATACACTTGTACATAGAGACACACACGTACTAACACATACAGACACACATACATCCATGGATACACAAATGTATCATCAAAGATGTGTTTCGCAAATGAGACCTCCGACACGCAAAACGGTCTCGCAAGTATAAAATGCTGGTAGCTGTCCGAAGTGTCTTCTCCGTCTTGTGAAGGATCGCGCTTGGCGACGACACGTCAGGGAAAGTGGACCACCAGACGTGTATCCAAAGCCACGTTGGAAGCGCTGGTGGCTGAGCCCTAGGGGCGGTGCTCAGTTGTATAGTGCATTGTGGCAGACTTTGGTGTCAAGCAGAACTGTATGAAAGAAGAGCCACCAGTAATGACTTACACACATATACACACACATGTAAACATTCGAGCTCGGTGCGCATAGCCATGCCTTTACACGCAGACGTGCACATACACAGTCTCGTACACATATACACGTACGTTCGTCGAGACATGCACTGATATGTACGTATCCTCGTACTTACGCAAACACATACACTTGTACATAGAGACACACACGTACTAACACATACAGACACACATACATCCATGGATACACAAGTGTATCATCAAATATGTGTTTTGCAAATGTGACCTCCGACACGCAAAACGGTCTCTCATGTCTATCATACGTTTCATGTGCTATACGTATCATACATGACACGGGGATGTGTGTCAAAACATGCCCCAGAAATGTGACCAACTCTGGTGTGTATGTGTCCCATGGCTAGCAGACGTATCATGTGCAATATGTATCATGTGCAACACGGCTCACGTGTAATATGTGCTCCGAGGGCTTTCCCACGGAGTCGCCAAACCCATCTGGGGATCTTGGGAGGGCCTCCCAGGGCCCTGTGGTTATGTATTCTCTTTAGGCCGTCGGCCCCAGCCGCCAGACATCTCTGGGTATCTGGGGGGTTCCCAGGGCCCGATTGTCTTAGTTTCTGTGACCCGATTCCCAGGGGAAGTTTATGAGGGCGTCTGGGGGGTTCCCAGGGGAAGTCTATGAGGCCTGTGGATTCAAATAAAAAGATGAAGTGAGTATGCCTGCTCTGGTCGCATGTGCGGCGGCGGACTTCGTCTTTCCGACGGCGCTCGCATGAGTGTTCTGCGTGTACGGTCGTATGGACTTTGGCATTTGGGCACATGTATGCGGTTCGCTTCTGTTTGTACGTAGCGGTTTCTGCTCAAGCCGCTTACTGTATATCGCGAGATCGTATTCACCTCCATATTGCCGGCCTTCCGTATGGCTTCCCAGATGGCCGGTCGGCTCGACCCCGTGACGGGCGAGTATTACCCAAGCGATGATGAAGTGCGCTACAGTATGGAGCGCTGGCACACGCCACCCAACCACGAGGCGTATGCGCGGCGCTGGCTCAAGCAGTGTGGCTCGGAGAGGTGGTTCGCGTGCGGTATCTTCTTCCCTATTCTATGGGAGGGTGTCAAGGGCGTATGCCTCGCCGTATCGAGCGTTATGTCCACGAGGCAGTCGAAGACGAACAACGACCCGGACTACCAGCACAGTATGGGGGGCATCCCCGAGCCGGAGTGGCTTTACTTCGACGCCTTCTTCTACGCGCGCGCGGTATTCGGGAACTTCTCGGTATTCCAGGATGAGAGGCTTGGGAAGCCCATTGGCTACCTTCTGCACGTATTCGACACGCTGTGCACCGCGCGAGGTATCGTCGCCTGGAAAGCCAACCTCTTCGTCCACCCGGGCCAGTGGGTGTATAGCAGTATGCGGTATTTGCTCGGTCAGCTCGCTATTCCCATTCATGCGGAGATCGTATCCGGCCTCTCCTACAGGGCCCTCGCCACCTTGGACGTATTCATTGCGTATCACGCGGCCTTCATGGGTACGGACCCGCAGAAAATGGCCATTTGGAACGTATCCCCTGAGGTCGGCCCAGAGATGAAGTATCCGCGTCAAGACCAGTGGTGGTGGTTGCCCGTATGGCGGTCTTTTGGTCAGAGCGACGAGTATCCGAACATGCTCGATTACCCGGCCTTGCCACCGCAGGTCCACAACGTGCTCGCGTTAGCACTGCCGTATGCAAGCCCCGGCTCTCTCGCCAGCAGGCGTATCGGCAATATCATTGGGCATTTGGGAGCGCACGGGTATCAGCCAGGCCCGCACCTGCATCAGCCAGGCAGCCATGTATCAGCCAGCCGCAAGCGCCTTTGCGACGTCGCAGACGACGAGTCGCCTTAGTATGCTTCTGGGTGAGTATACTCCTACGTGTGACTGGACCTGTTTGCGAAAGCAGGAGAAAGTATGGCACCCCTTTGTGTCCAGAGCCGCGCCGTCTGCGTTATTCCTTTCTCGCTTCTCTCCTTTCCTCCTTGTCCTGCTCCTCCTCCCCCTCTTGCGCCTCGGAGCCGTATTGGAACTGTCGATGGCCATCTCCCTGTCTCCCTCGCATGTCTGCTTGTACATATGTATAATTTCAGAACTAAACGTGCATGTGATCGTTTAGAACATGGTGGACCGTGCGTATGTCACGAACCTTGTGTACTTTCTCTCCCTCCGTCTGGCTGTGCACGCGCGCGTTGGGCAGTGAGAGTTAGGATCACAGCGCCACCAGTGTATGAGCAATGCATGCGTCATCCTTGGGACTGTATAACAGCAGAAACAGACAACATTGCATCGCAGCGGGACAGCCATCGGGACAACCATCGGGACAACCATCGGGACAACCATTTGGACAAGCATCGGGATAACGATCGGGACAACCATAACCATCAGGACAACCATCGGGGCAACCATCGAGACAACCATCGGGACAACGATACCTTCTCTCTTGTGTCCTCCCACATCCCTCAGGAAGTTGCCCTAAAGATGTGACCGACTCCTCTCTCTCCTTCTCTCTGTCTCTCGCTCTTTCTCTGCTTCATATCTATCATACGTAACACATCTACTTGTGTAATCGCCTTCCCAGGAATTTGCCTCAAAAATGTGACCAACTATCTTGGCACTGCGTACCATCTCACGTGTACCGTGTACCACATCTTCTCAGGTTGCCTCACACATGTGACGAATCTCTTTCTATCTCTCTCTCCACTGGCTCTCTGTCTTGCTCTCTCTCTCTCTCTCTCTGTCTCTCTGTACTATGTATGTCATGCGCAACAAATGCACCATGCGGGGCACATGCGGGGCCCAAACAAGTGATCAACCTCTGCGGGTGTGTACTCCACGCCAGTGTAGTATCCACGATCGTCCGCGCGCCACGAAGTGAAGTGTCCTGACGTCATAGGGCGGGAAGCTGGGTGTGGTTGGTTCCCGAGAGTCGTGTGGATATTTGGTAGAGCTTGCATTGCCCCCCCACGAAGTGGGGGTATTGGCTGGCGTCGCATGAAAACCCTGGCACTGGGGAGAACACTGAGCGTTCGGGTAAAATGATTGTTGTTGTTGTTGTTGTTGTCGTTGTCGTTGTCGTTGTCGTTGTTGTTGTTGTTGCCGGTTTCGGCCTCCCAAGGCCCTCCCAGGGCCCCTGGGCCTTGGACCGTCAACACAAACGGCTCGGAGTGAACAAATAGGTCCCGTTGAAAGTCCTGGGGTCAAGATTCTCTCGTTTCCCTCAGGACCCCCTTTCCCGTGTGCAAAGAAAACCGTCGCCTGGGATTCATCATGCTCTCCTGAGTAAGCCGAGATCGTCCACACGATCCGCACCGATTTGCATGACAGTGCACGGGCTGATCTTGCGTACAAGTGTGCCAGCGACAGGCGAAACATGCGTACGCATCCGTCTCTTGCCTGCTGTGGCGACAAATCGAACCAGCATCGCGACGGTACCCGTGACGGTACCCCCGTTTCGAATGAAATTATAACGACTTCACAAGTATAACTTAAACGGACTGCCTTGGCAAGCAAATTGAAAACTATTGCAGGCCTCGAACACGGCCGCCAGGCCCGGCAGTCCGCCGGGCCAAGAAATAGCGGGCGCAAAGGCAGACAAGGGCACACGGGACTAGACCTGCCCGTCATTGCCGCATCGCACCTCCCGCAGCGCCCTCCCGACCATCCTCTGGGCCCGAGGCCTCGTGCTCCCCTCATGGTCGCTCCGTGCAGCACTGGGCCGGAACAGAACGACCACCGCCCTTGGGCACGGCTGCTGCGCACTGATCACCTCGTGGTCGTGGTCAGTGGCTCTGAAGATGGTCTTGGCCACTCCTCATGCACATGGTCTTGGCCGCTCGTGGCTTAGCCGGAGAGAGAGAGAGAGAGGTCTTCGCCACTCATCCTCGGCCCGTCTGCAGTCCTCCTCTCCCTCCACGACGCCCCCCCCCCCTGGCCTTCCGATCCTCTGAGATGCTGCTGGTCCACAGCACACGGGCCTACGCTGTCTGGCCCTGCGCTCATCGATTCGGGGCGGACGAAGGGGGGAGAACTGCGGGGGGGTTAGCGCAACAGCTGCACGCGGCAGATCTCTCCAGCGCCAGGAGGCGCCAGATGCCGTCGCGCACGGAGGACCGTGCCTCGCGGCGGGGCCAAGGCCACCTCCGACCTCCGGTGTCGTGTCTTGCCAGTTCGTGGCCGTGGACCTCTTCAGTGAAGGGGAACTGGGACACACAAATAAATACACAAATAAAAGGGTTCCCCTATCTTTTCAAATATTTTCTGGGATTCTGTCTTCCCCCCCACTTCCAATATTTTCCCATATTTTCTGACCTCCGGTGTCGTGTCGTGTCTCGTCAGTTCGCGGCCGTGGACCCCTTCAGGGACTCCACTTCCCTACTCGGACCCTTTTGCGACGGCCCCAAGGCCCAGAGACGGCGCTCGGAGGCCCGAGCTGGCCCGACACCCCCGCCCTGCTCGTTCTGCTCTTGCCAGGCGCGGGGGGTCTGAGGAGGAGGAGGAGGAGGAGGAGGAGGAGGAGGGGGAGGAGGAGGGGGAGGAGGAGGGGGAGGGGGAGGAGGAGGAGGGCCCCCCTCCGCCCCTCCCGAGCGCTCGGCCCTGAGCGCCCGCAGCCGGCGGCGGCGCTTCACCTGGAACGCCCGCGCCAGCATTCGCCGGAGCGTGTGGACCCCCCTCCCTGGCGCGCGGAGCGCGCCAGGGGCGGCGCCAGAGGCGCGCCAGGGGGCCCCAGCGCCGATCCGAGAAATCCGCGCGGACCTCCGAGCTTTTATATTTGTGTCACTTTTTGTTCCCCTAAGGGAGGCGCACACGCCGCTCCAGGGGCCCAGGGGCAGTGGCTACGGACCCACATTGCCCCCTGCGCAAAACCTGCCCTCGGGGATCACCCGGGCCAGTCGGGCTCTGCAGGATCCTGCAGGAGCCTGCAGGATCCTGCAGGCAAGCCCAGGTCAATGCACCCCTGGCCCAGCAAAATCCTGCAACATCCGGCGCTCTGACTGACTTCCGTTTGCATTGACCCCCGTCTCTTGTTGGCGGCGCGCATAGGTGGGTAGGGGGATGGGGGAAGGCTTCTTTGAAGGAGGCTGCTTCTTACAAGGCGCGGGCCTCACATCTGTGGAGAAGGCCCGCGCGCGTCACATCGGGAGGGTGCCTCTAAGAAGCCTCCCCCCCTCCTCACACTCCCCTCCGCGCGTGGCCGATGAGCCCCGATACCTCCCCCACCTTCCGCCCCCAACACCGTCGTCCGCCCCGAGCAGATCAGACGACGTGGGCCGCCATGGCCGGCTGGGCGAACACACCCGGAGGGCCGTCCGCAGCCGCGGAGGCCTGTGGCGGGTCGGCCGACGCCGCCTCCTTCCGGCCGAACTCCTTCCGGCATGCAGCAAGCGGGGCCTGACGGAAACAGGGCCCCCCCTTCCAAGACCAGCTCTTCGCCCCGAGGCACCCTCTGACGGCGCCGGGGCCCGGAGAGGGCCCCGAGAGGGGGAGGCACCTCAAGGCCCGCTTCCCTCAGGACCGGCTTGCCGAGGGAAGAGAGGTGTGCACGTGCACCGATCCTGGCCGGGACCATTCTGGGCCCTCCCATCTCGGCCAGGGAATCACATGCGCCGATCCTGGGCCCCCGCTGCCCTGGGGCGCGCCATGCAACTCTCGCGCGTGGTCCGCCTCTCCGCGCCCCTCGACTCCGATCTTCACGCGGGGCACCGCGCGATCCGATTCCTCTTTCGGCGGCCGCGGCGGACTCGACATTGAGATCGGGGGCCCTGGCGGGGGGGCGAAACATTGAACGAGCAGCTGCCTCACCTCTACACGGGGTGTGCTGGCCCAGAACGGGCCTGGCCAGGGCCGGTGCACACGCACACCCCTCGCCGCACGAGGCGCCTTCTGCATCCGGCGCTGCATCCGACGCCTCTGCGCGCGCGTCCGCGGCTCGAACGGGCGCTCGGAGCTGCTGTTGCCGTGCTCGGAGCCCGAGCCCGCAGTCTGCGCCAGGCGCGCCGGCCACGGGACCTCCTCCTCTCGGCGGCGAGCGGGGGGAGGGGGAGCATGAAGCCGAGAAGGCGCCTTCTGAGAGGCTTTCGGCGCCTTCGGGCACGGCTTAGAACACCTCTCAGAATGCCGCGGGACTTCCCAAGCCTTCCGAGAATCCGGGGCGGCCAAGAGGGGGGGCGTCCAAGAGGGAGGGGGGCGCAAATCATGGCCGGCGGCACGTGCGCGGCCCAGGGGGGGGGGGCCATGAACGTGATGAAACAAGAAGAGGCGCCATGAAATCTGAGGAAACATCATGGCCCACGCCATGCTATCCAGCCCCCCCCAGTCATCCCCCCCCTCTTTGCCGCCCCCGACCCACCGCGCGCGCCGAGCCTTTTCCCGTAGGAGGAGGAGGAGGACGAGGAGGAGGAGGAGGAGGAGGAGGAGGAGGAAGAGGAGGAGGCGGAGGCGGAGGAAGAGGAGGCGGAGGAGGAGGAGGCGGAGGCGGAGGAGGAGGAAAGGAGGAGCTCTTTGCCGCCCCCGAGAGAAGGCCCACGCCTCCTCCTCCTCCTCCTCCTCCTCCTCCGCACTTCCGCCCCCCCCCGGGGCTCGCCGCCCCTCCTCGCGCGGCAAGGGGAGCCCGACGCCGACCAGGCGCACCCGCATCGGCTCATGCGGGAACTCGCCCGCGTGCAGCCACGCGGCGGGCGTCGGGGCCCCATAGCTGGCGCCGAAGCTCTCGGGGGTCACGACAGCGGGGACGCCCGCCTGGTGTCGGGTGGGGCACGCTTATAGGCGGAGTTTGGAGGAAACAACAAGACAAACCTAGCCAACATATGCTGAAATCATAAACGATAGTAACAAAAACAACCCAAAAACCGTCCCCAGACTGTTTTTGGATTATTTTTCCCCGATCAGTGCTTGAGCTGAAGGGGTCCCAGCGGTAATTGAAAAGTTTGGCGAACATTTCCCGCCGATTTTGGTAGCAAGCTGGGTTCCCGGTTTTCCGGTTATTGGTTCCAGGCCGATTTCGGTGGGTTCTGGGTTCCTGGGCTCCCGGGTTCCTGGTCGATCTCCTCAGCGAAAACCATCCACTGATTGGGGTTTTCCTCTGGTGCAATGGAATATTCCTCCTGTAGAGTTAGGTTGGGTCTGTCCCCCTACAGGGGGATTTCGGACAAAAATTCGCCGGCCCAACGGGCCAGGGCGTGCTAAGATCTCCGGTAACTGGTTAACAGTATTAACAGTATTTCTAGTTCGCGCGCGCGGGGCGGCCCCTGGGGGTCCCCCGGCGAAAAGTACCCCGACCAACGCCCGGTCGCCGCCCGACCGCCGCCCGACCAAGTCTACTCAGAGATGGTTTTCCTTCTGGGTGCGGCCTCTCAGGCTCCCCAGAGCGCGCTCAGAGTGCCCCAAGAGGCCCCCAAGACTGCCCAAGAGGCCCCCGAGACGCCCAAAGAGCGCTCGAAGACGCCGAAGATGACCCCAAGACGGCCCAAAAGGCCCCCAAGACAGCCCAAGAGGCCTCCAAGACGCCCCAAGAGCCTTCCAAGAGGCCTCCGAAGAGAGCCCCAAGAGGCCAACATCGTTGATTTTCATTGTTTTTTTCGATGTTTTTTGTGTTCTGGCTTTTTCGGCTTCCGGACGCTCCAAGACGGCCCAAGAGGCCCCCAAGACCGCTCCAAGACGGCCCACGAAGCTCCCAAGACGGCGCCGAAACGACCCAAGAGAGCCCTCAAGACGGCCCAAGTGCCGCCCAAGACGGACCAAGAGGCCCCAAGACGGGCCCAAGAGGGACTCAGGAGGGATACCGAGAACTCAAAAATGGAGCCCTCCGTCCCAGAAGGCGCCCAGGAGGTCCCAAAGAGGCCCCAAGAGGCCTCCAAGAGGCCCCAAGATGTCGCCAAGAGGCCCCAGGAGACTCCCAGGAGGCCCAAAAGAAGCCCCAGAAGGCTTCAAACATGTCTCCCAGGCGCCCCCGAACGGCCTCTCAACAGACCCCAAGAGGCCCCCCAAAGAAGCATCTTGACGACGACTCTATTTCGCCCCATCGAGAGACGACCCCCAGGGAACTGCTTCACCATCAAAACTCCCCACGCAACGCGTCCGAACGACACCCGCCCCCAAGAGCGCAACATGGGCAACGAACACACAAACAAAAACCAGCGATGCCATATCACGGGCCGGCGGAATGAGCGAAGCGATTCAATAATACAAGAACAACTATTAAAAAAAAACACTCAAAGATGCCCAACAGTACAACTAATAGTCCCCAGACTATTTTTGGATTTTTTTTGAATATTCCCCGTGCAAGGGGACAGGCCCGACTTGACTGTAGAGGGACAAGACACGCCCGACGTAAGCCTGGTGGTGTGCGATCTAGAGCGGCGGCTGCTGCCCGTGCCCTCTGCCGGCACCCAGCCCTCCCTGGGGCTCCGACGAGGGGGCGGAGACACATCGGGGATCTTCAGACCCGGGTCTTTCCAGACCCAATCCTGCAAGATCCTGCAAGATCCTGCACCCAAACCCGGGTCAATGCGAAGGGTCAATGCGAAGGGTCAATGCGAAGGATCCTGCAGGATCCTGCACCCAAACCCGGGTCAGTGCGACCCTGTCCTTGCAGGATCCTGAAAGATCCAGCGCTCTAGCTGACCCCCGTTTGCACTGACCTCCGTCTCTTGAGCCCCGAACGCAACTCTGGCCCGTGGTGCCGGGCTGCTGAGGCATGCCCTACAGCAGGCACACGTGTCAGGAAATGTTGCAATATGAAATCTCGTCGTCGTCGTGGTCGTTTCGTCGTCGTCGTCGTCGTCGTCGTCGCCATTCAGGGTCGGCGGCACTGGCAGTAAGGCCTTTGCAGTCTTGCAATCTGAAATCTTGGGGCACATCGTTCCTTGACCTTTGAGGGTTCTCCAACGCTCCAGAACTCCTGTGGGTCCCTGGGGCCATCGGGGGACAAGAGACTTCCGTGGAGCGCCTGCTGGCTGGCCGATTTCTTGTTTGATGTGCCTTCTGTATGCCCTCGGTGTGCAGAGCTGGCGGCAGCAGCAGGTCTGGGCACGGATGAGCATCGCCGATGCGCGAAGGGCGGGCGTCAAGCGGCAGACCCAGAACCTCCGACGCCGTGTATTTTTTTCCACTGCGTGGACCCCCGGAAGTCCGAACTCCTTCCCAACATTCCTGAGCATCGTTTGACCGATCCCCATCCCCAGCGGTGTGGCCTGGGCCCTACTGGCCGATTTATCCCCCTGGATGGGTATATAGGCCGTTTCCTTCGGGTTTCGAGGGGTGTATCCCCAACTGGGGGAGTAACTTGGTGGGGGTCTCGAAGGGGATGACGATGGGGATGGGGGTCGGTTAAACGATACTGAATTCTGGTTCCCCGTCCTAAGTCGCTCTTTGACTGCCCAAAGCGCCCTGGGAGAACCGTGCCGAACAGACCTGCCGAGACCCGCAGAGGCTCCGACGCCTCTCTGCGTGCTCCTCTGGTCTCCGCCTCTTTTCGACTGCACCGCGTGTTTGCTCGCCGAGGAGGAGGAGGAGGAGGAGGAGGAGGAGGAGGAGGAGGAGGAGGAGGAGGAGAAGGAGGAGGAGGAGGAAGAGGAGGAGGAATGTCTCCCGACCCCCCCTGGGGGGAGAGCTCTCCACCCCGGGCTGTTCTTGTTGGCGCTCTTGGGCCCGAAGCTGGCCGCCGGAGGCGAAGCGTCTCGGTGTCGGGTTCCCTCCCGCCCATGCACAAAACTCCCCGCGCCTCCTTCCGCGCCGACCCCCTCCAACAGTGCGCTCCGGCCAGGCCTTCTGGGCGGAGCCGGCTGCGGCGACGGGAACCTTAGAAGGCCCAGGAGCCTCCCGGAAGAGACCTCTTAGCCTCGAGCATTCCTCGGCAGCGCTCGCCTGGTCGAGCCTTATATTGAGTATGGACCCCAGAGTGCGGCGCTGGCAGGGGCAGGGGCCTCCTCGTCCTCCTCGTCCTCGTCCTTCTCCTCCTACTGTTGATCACTCCTCGGCCGCCCGCCTGGTCGAAACTCATGGGGTAGGCATCCTGGAGTGCGGCGCTGGCGGGGACAGGGGCCCGCAAGGCCGACATCATCGTGCAACAGTGGTCGCGTGCTGCAGAGACGCCGCCGTGTCGGCCTCTCTGGCTCCGGTTTGGGTCACCGAGCGCCTGCGCTTTGTCGCTTGCGCTCGAGCCTGGATGGCAAGGGGAGGAAGACGACGGCGTCGATAGGTGATGATGTGTTGATATCGGTGCGCGCCATACAAGACGGGTCTCCTGGACAGCTTCCCCCGTGTGTAGCTGGCCACCCAAACCTGTCGGATCTGAGTGCCCTTCCCCGCGCAAGCCTCTATCCTGTCCTTGTGGTCCTATTGATGTCGCTGGAAAATGGAAAGGAACGGAACGGGCCGATTGCGATCCATTGCAATGCGTGCACAGATGCGGCTCATGGCCACCAATATGAAATACGAAAACTGGATCTGCACTTTACCACGCTGGGCAGCCACCCGCGACCCTGCTGTGGGGAGCCCTCTGGCCCTGAGTGGGAGCACCCGATGGACAAATCGGCGATGGCCTACATGGGCACCATCCTCCCAGCAAATGCCACGATCGCTGTTACGAAGGCTGTTCGCCTTCACCTGCTACGGGAGGGAGGAGAGTGTCCACCGTGACACGGGCGCTCGTTCTTCTTTTCTGAGTTCATTCAATTCTAATTGTTTTGGAGAAGAATGAGGAACACAGAGAGGAATGGAGCGCGAACGAACAGAGCCAAATGTGTCCCCTCCGCGTGGCTGGAGAAGGCAAATGCCTGCACTGGCTCTGGATTCGGGCAGAAGGGGGTAATGACGCAAATGTCACCCGAACTTGTATCAGAGCGAAGCGCGTGGTTGCGCGACATCAAATGCGACAGCACGCAACGAACATGTCAGGTGAATTCAGTCATATATATATATATATATATATATATAGTGCTCCAACGTTCATGCTGCTGCGACACCTTGGGGGGTCTTTCTCGGCAGAGCCTCGCTCTCCCGCTGCGCGGCTCACTTAAGGATCCAGCCCCCCCCCCCCGGCACACGGAGCGCGCCAGGGGCGGCGACGTAGGCGCCGCCAGGGGGACCAGTGCTGCTGGACTTCACCAAACGCTACTGGACTGCAGATGTTTGCATACACTTTTGGCATTCCAGGCCCGTCTCGGGGGCCCAAGAAGGGGAAGACCACCCGAAACAGCCGAAAATTGTAAGTCGCCCCCGCCCCCCCCCCCCCCTCCCAGAGAACCAAGATGAGGCCCCCGTACACAGAGGCGGGTTGGAAGGCAGATCTGAGCTGGATCGAATCGCAAATTCGGATCAGATCGCCAGCAGATCGTCAAATCGGATCTCCAGCAGATCGTCCCGAACCCGATCGAAATCGGATCGCCGCGCCCCACTCTTGCTGGTCCTGGCCGATACGAGCGAGCCGAAACCATCCGAGTCGAATCGGAATCGCGGCCCCGGCCGGTGAACCGAGTCGCACCGAATCGAATCGCAGGTAGCCCTGGGGAGGAGGACGACGAGCCGCCGCGGCCCAAGAGCGCAGGACTGAGGAGGAACGTCCGGGGAGAACGGGTCCGGGGTTGGCAACGTCGACCTGGCATCGGTGGTACCCCCTCCTGCTGCTCGTCCTCCTCCTCTTCCTCCTGTTCCCTCTCCTTCTGCTCCTCCTTCTTCTCCTCCTCCTCCTCTCCCTCAGCCTCCACTCCTTCTCCTCCTCACGTCTCCTTCTCCTCACCTCCTCCTCCATGAAACCGCGCCCTCGCGCGCGTCGCTGCGCGCGCCTGTTCCTGGGCGGGGTGGGCTCTCGGACCCCCATCGGCGATGAGTGTGCGAACGGGGTCGGTGCCTCCCTCCCCTAGATGAAGGGGCCCAAGGACACACAAAGAAATACTCACGAATAAAAACATTCCCCATATGTTCCCATATTTTCTGGATTTTTGTCTTCCCGCCCACCTCCCATATTTTCCCGTATTTTCTGGGGAATCCAAGATTAATTGTGTCTGTGTGCGTTTTTCCCTCCTAACTAGAAGCAGACTTTTGGCGCTCCGCGCGGATTTCTTGGATTCGCGCTGGGCCTCCCTCCCAGGCGCGCGGAGCGCGCCAGGGGCGGCGCCAGAGGCGCCGCCGGGGGGCCCGGGCGCGGATCCGAGAAATCCGCGCGGAGCGCCAGAGGGTTCTGCTCGTGTGGCCTTCTCTTCTTCGGCCCCCTGCGCCAGCTTCCCCCGTGGCTGTCGACGCGCAGCTCGGCGCTCCGGCGGCCGTGCGGGATGACCCCGGCCCCAAGATGGCGCTCAACACCCGATCCCGCCAGTGTGCTTTTGGACGGTCAGATCCAGCCGATCGACCTCAAACCAAGATGGCGAGCGGGAATGGGATCACAGATCACGGGGAGTACTAGAAGAGCTCTGACGAATGGTTGCATTTTGGGAATGCCATTCTCAAGGGACCCAACGTGGGCAAGACTTCCGTCGCCCCCCCCCCCCGCCGGGAGCACCCTCGGCGAGGCGCGTGGCTGCTGGAGGAGCCCGCTCTGCGGCCCGGGTCGTTCGCTGGGGGCCCCGGGCCCGCCTCTTCGGTGGCACGCACGGCGACAGGCCGGCCGCCTCGACTCCTTCGAGTCCTCGTGCAGTCCACCCGTGGAGTACGGGTGCGCGATAAGGATGCAAGGCCCCTGGACGCCCATTTCGGAGCTTTTCGAGCAGGGCGCGGCCAACGAGAGTGGTCCAGGATAGACCGAAGAGGCAAATATGCGGGGGTACCCTTGGGAACGTCGCCCATCCTTGCTCTGCGGGTTGACTGTACGTCTCGGTCCCCCGCGAGGAGGGGCGACTTTCGGTCGGGGATCTTCTGCCCCGGGCCAGTCCAGACCCGACCCCCTGTTTGCATTGACCCCCGTCTCAAGGCTCCCGATTCGGGTCACAACTCGGATCTCTGGCGGCCGTTCGGAACGATTCGCGCACCCCTGGAACGCCCTCGGGGAGGCGCACCTGCTGGAGAGCGCTCAGGGGCAGGAAAAGCGTCAGGCACCGACGAAAACGCCCAGGAAAGGTGCGAAGCATCGAATTCCCCTGCCTCCTGCTACTCCTCCTCCTCCTGCTTTTCCTCCTGCTTCTCCTCCTCCTCCTCCTCCTCCTCCTCCATTTCTTCTCCTTATAAATAACTTCTCCCTGTCGCACCCCGAGGCCAGTTTTTAGGGCGGGCCCGGCGTTTCGCCTGAGACTTCCTCACCATTTATAACTCTCAAGCCTAAAAAGTGGCAACAATTTCACGGATTGGAGGGCGGGTGGTTTTCAAAATGTGGCTCTCGCCTTAGCGCCGCGCACATTCGTTTCCAAACTTTGCAAGAGTTTCATGGATTGAGGGCGGTTCGTTTTCAAATTTGGGATGCCCATTATCGCCATTTCTATTTGTTATGTTGATGACAGTTGTGATGCGAGATGCCGTGGGCAATCTGGGAGACAAAGCGCAAATGGAGATATCATTGGGGAGTCTATCAGTCTTGCTCTACGCAGACGACACGCTGCTCATCGGGAGTGACCAAGACAGCCTTCAACAACTACTGGATAACATTGCACTGGCAGGGGCCCAAGTAGGAATGGAACTCCATTGGGATAAGTTCCAAATGATGAAGATACGAAGCGACGTGCAATTGAACACACCGGCAGGGCAACCCATTCCAGAAAAGCACAGCTTGACATATTTGGGTGCTACTTTATACAACACGGGGCAAATGAGTACCGAGCTAAATCGGCGAATCGGGGCCGCATGGGCCGAATTTTGCAAATATGAGAGGGCATGGAAACATACCGCTATCACTGTGCCCCGGAAGTTGGAACTATTTCAAGCACTGATAACATCCAAACTGATATATTCTCTGAATACGGCATGGTTGAACAAAGCTGAACGGAGGAGACTCGACGGATTTCAAGCCACATGCTTGAGGAAGATGCTGCACATCCCCCCGGCCTTTCTTACGCACATTTTAAACAAGGATGTGCTACAACGTGCAGGGCAACAGCCATACAGAGCGCAGTTTTTGAGGCATCAGCTGACATTGTTCGGGAAAATTGGCAGAGCTTCGAACCAAGATTTTCTGAGACAGCTTACTTTTCAAGATGGTTCGATCCGCTCGGCCACAGCGTCGCTCAAGCGGAGGCGGGGTAGACCGATGAATGCATGGGCATCGTGCCTGCGCAACTGCATTTCGGGTGCGTTCGCATCAGACGAGCACGTCATGGAGTACGTGCGGGACCCCCCCAAATGGGAAGTATTCGTACGACGCTTCGCTGAGAGTTTGGGGCCAGACCCAGAACAGGCTTTCTAGTCCGTGCGCTCTGGCACCGTCGAGCCAGGAACTTATGCATACTATGCCGTCCCTCCTTTCTCGCTCCTCCTCCCTCCCCTCCTGCTGCTGCTGCTCCTCCTCCTCCAATCGCGCACGCTGTGCATTATGAGACAGCCGACGTGCAGCCGCTCCCGCAAAGCGGCGAGATCAGGCTGGCATTGTCTTTTGCCCACGCGCTCCGGCGTATGGCACTTCGTTCGTTAGCGCCGCGCACATTCGTTATACACATTTGCAAAAAGTTTCACGGATTGAGGGCGAGTGGTTTCAACATGTGGCTCTCGCCTTAGCGCCGCTCACATTCGTTTTAACAAATTGCAAGAGTTTCTCGGATTGAGGTCGGGTGGTTGTCAAAATGTGGCTCTCGACTCAGCGCCGCGCACATTCATTTTAAACATTTGCAAGCGTTTCACGGATTGAGGGCGGGTGGTTTTCAAAATGTTGTTTTCGCCTTAGCGCCGCGCACATTCGCTTTAAACATTTGCAAGAGTTTCAAGTATTCCCATGATCAACGTACCAGAAATGGTGTTTTGGAAAGAGTCAGGATTCTGCGGGTGCAAAAATCATATTGACCCGCGGTGCTGAAATCGTTAAAATGGCGTTATGGCACGATTCCGGATCGTCAAACCGCAGCAATCAGGTTGATACGTGGCGTTTACGTTCCGAGAAAAATGTTTTGGCATGCTTCGGGATCTTCAACGGTTGTCTTCCAACGAGGCAGTTCCCTCAATGGAAATGAACTGTAGGGGCCCTATGAAAAGGAAGCTTGGAGGGTTCTCTTGGGTTTACACTGGTCCTCCTCCTCCCCCTCCTCCTCCT